AAATTTGTAATAAAGAAAAAAACGGTTGTCAGAAGTGGGATTCGAACCCACGCCTACATAGTAGACTGCGACCTGAACGCAGCGCCTTAGACCACTCGGCCATTCTGACACTTAATGATGCTGTGACGATTCAGTAATAAATGACATAGCTTTGCTTTCACAATTATTTTTATAACGATCGGCAAGAGTTAAGAATTAAATAAAAGCTATATTATTGTATCTATAATAATCGTTTACATATTTTTATTACTTGAAAATCACAAATTGTGTTAATTAGGTTTGTCGACTTTTTGTCACAATGTCCGGAAGTTTAAGCTGGAATTTACTTAACTTTATATTAAATTTTAAAAGTTAAATAATATGATGATCTAAAATTTATTTACAAATTAATCAAATACTTTTTATAAAGTTCAACATTGTTAACCTTATTGAGTAATGCGATGCTAAGAATAAATGCGATGTCTAAAACTTAATGATTTTTTACATTTAATAAAATTAATTGATATTTAATTAAACATTTCAAATGCATTTATATTTTTATGAATTAGTTGAGGAAAAACCGAATATTTATATACCTACCCCTTTGGGATATGTTGAAGATAGAAAACACTTGCAAAATGCATTAAACATTAAAAACAATATCGACTGATTGTTGAATGCGAAGGAACTGATGAGCTTATTTAACTAATTTATGGCCTTAACAATAATAATAAATTTTTTAAATAACAAACATCATTTCATTACTGAAATATGATTAAGGGTAGTTTGTCTTATTTCTAAATGCAAGAATTACAAGAACCGATTAAACCACCTTTTGATGATTATTAAAGAAGGAAAAAAGAATTTCGATCCTTTAAATGTAATTTAATGAAATCATGGCGTGTTAGACACGTCTAATTCAAATTATTTTTAATTAGAGTAATTAATTAGTGTAAATATACAATTTTTACAAGAAAATTTCGATGTACGGTTTCGATGGTATGCCATTAACGACGCCTGCTAGAGTTATTTATACACATTTCTAGTCGTTACAAACAGAACGAAAATATCAATACATCTCGATACTTTGATAATGGTAATGGGTATGAAATGCCATTTAACAAGTGTTCATCATATCATGAGTGCAGGTGTGCAAAAGACGAAATAATAATTTTTTCATATTTTTTTATGCAATACAATCGGTGAAGATTGCTGGAAAAAATATATACCTTATTAACATAAGACAATTGAGCTTTATACTATTTTTGGTATGGCATATTACCGGTCAAGGCTTAATTTAATTTTTTTATTTATACTAAAGAATCGCATTTTTATATTTATTGTTCTCGAATACATTGTCATTGTCATTTCGATTTAGTCTTACGCTTCGATCCCCATTGAATTTGTGCCCTCACTCGATCCCGCTTTAAATGTATTATTGTACTTGCAGTTTCTAGTAATATTTTATGTAATTTTTAAAGTTCTTAGTCCAAGGGATACCGTAGTCGTATTTCGTGATTGCAATTTACTCTATGTTTCTTTAGAATGAGATAAACATGTTACGTTTGACTTGAAACTATAAACGTTTTTCTTAGGGTATATGTGAACTATGTCCGCGTCAAATAGGTAATGTCTACACTCATCAAGATAGATTATTAGATCTTGCATTTTATCTGTTCTTCGTTCAAATCCCTCATCACTACCGAAAATAATTATCATCGGATTATCTATAACTAATTTTCAATATGAAAATGTTAGTAAAGCATGGCATGTTTCTTTTTAAAACAACAAATTTTATCGCTATGAGAAGTTGGATAGCGAAGGCGGTCTGTTCAATTGAAACGTTGAACAATAGTATGTCTAATCTTTACGCTATGATTAAAGAGCCAAAATATTGCTGTTCGTGCCTTGCGTTCGAGTACAAAATAGTAATGAGTGCCCAGTTTGATTTAATAGAACATTAAAGTAGATAAAGAATCGTAGAAATAGACTTTTAAACATATTTAAGGGTATATGTTATCTGACTAATTTTTCATGCTATGTTCTTGAAAAAATTCCTAAATTCCTTGTAATGAGTAGAACATGCTATTCCTCCTATTTATAACAAATGAGTGTTAAGTTTAGAACGATTCGAAAAGTTATCGCTAACATCTGGTATTTGCTCAGAGTCGTGGGAAAGTACAGTGTGATTGTTTCTATTTTGAAGACGGGCTGTAGGAATGACACAGAAAACTATAGGGCTATAGCCGAACTTACTGCGCTGTCTAAGCTCTTTGAACGTTTAGTAACAAAACATTTATTGCTTTCATTATGATTATTTTCGTTATTAATTTAGTTGGAGAAATGAATTCTAAGACTAAGGTCCTAAAGCACCACCATCTAAGGCTATCGGCTTTATTGAAAGCTCTACCGAACTTGAGATTTTAATGCACGAAAATTGGATTGTCTTGGCCAACTAGCCATTCAGGTTGATATCTTTTATGTTCAATTAATGCTATATCGAGGTGAAACTATGTTTTAATAGTACTTATTATGTTCAACTACTTCTAGTAGTTGCGCAGTAACAAATTGTTTAGAAATGTCATATCCGAAAGGACTGCAAATGGACATTATTTACATTATTGCCTTCAGTGGGGCTATTCATAGGATAAATGATGACAAGCTTATCTTTAAATTTACTTTAAAATGGCGCTGTAATTAATTTAAATAATTTACTTCTTATCCAAAAAGGTTGTGTGCAAGTTGGTCCTTAATATGGTACTTTATCTAAAGAAGTAATAGTTTGGTCTAGATTTCCACGAGGCAGCTACCTTGGTTTTATGATCTGGCGACTGCGATTCAATACTCATGTATTTTAACGTATGCGGATGATGTGAAGCGGTCTCCTTCATTTTGAATAAGAATAGATCATCTGAAATAGATTGGAGAAGTCTTAGCGATTTCAATATAAGAAATTGTCCTTTGTCCGATTACGCATAATATAAATGGGCATATCTTTGAAGATGGCGCATATGATATTGATATAATAAAGTCGGTCTAAAAAAAATAAAAAAATGAAATTTATTTTGGAAATTTTTTTGAAAATGTATTCCAATATATTTATTTGTCTTTCGTAGATAATAAAACTGAATTGCTCATAATTTGTTGTTCATGAGGGTACCATTACCTCCTAAGGTGAGGAATGTTCAAACAAAGCCTCACTTATGCGAAATGGTTTCCATGTATTCTGTGTATTACTGTATTCATTGTAGCAATGGATAATATCGTCGAATGTTTGAAGTATGATAAAAAGTTAAATGGTAACGGATCGTACATAAGCAAATACGGAATTGTAAGACAAAGACTTTGAAATCCTCTTAGATTAGAAAAAAAATTGTTGAAAAGGCTTCTTAGTCAACTCAATGGTCGTGGGTTCAAATTTCAAGTAGCGGTATTGTTTTCAATAGAGCCGATAGCCTTTGATTTACAAGCGCTTTCAGACTTTAATATTTATTTCTCTAGTTAAATTGATAATAATAATAATAATAATAATAATAATAATAATAATAAAAGAGAAAGCAATTTTTCGATCGTGTAAGTTCAAATTCGTGTAAAAGCAGAGTTGATTCCTTCCAACTTAAATGAAATAATTTATTGTAGATTTTAAACAATTTGGTGGAGGGTATGAAAAATCACTCACTCTAGCGAGGATGTATTTTTTTTTCTCCCTTTCTTTTTAAGTTTTTATTACGCAAGGACGAGTCTTTGAATTTTTCGATTTTTTTTTTTTAGTAAAATTTTATTTATGAATTTGGCATTGAAATTTCTTAATTTTCAATATTGTTTTTTGTTTTTCAATTTGTGTTTAAATCAAAAATTAAATTTTTTCTCTCTCTTTTTACAGAACAGCGGCATTTAGTTTAAAAGGAGAGATTGAAAAAAATATTTATAAAGCATTTCAATATAAATGAAACCCACGCGTTAATGTAAAGATAAATGCAATAAAATTATTAATAATTATATGCTGTTAGCAGCTGTTAAATGTCAAATTAACTGACAAGTTCAATGCGAGTCCATGAACGCAAGCGAGTAATGAAAGGAAAGAGAACAACATTACCTTATATAACATAAGCCATAATGTTTGAGAATATCATTCAATGATGTTAAAAATGAATAAATGAGTAAAAAAAATTTATTGTAATTTATAATAAATTTTAAAGTTTCTTCAAACAGAGTCAGCGACTGGTCGCGGAAATGGCAAATCACAGACAAAAAGCTTTTCTTTGCTATACGGTTTTGTAATAGTGACTCATTCATGTTTACCCAGTGACGATACCGATCAGAGTTTGAGTGTAATAACAATTACAATAACAACAACAATAACAATAATAGCGACAATCGCATAAAAATGTGGGTCAAAATTGCAGTCTTTTGCGAGCTTGCAGCCATTACTGAACACAATAAACAGCAAACAATAAACAACACATTGTAAATTATCTCGCTTACTTACTATTATTCTAAATTACTAACTAAAGCAACTTTATCGACAATAAGAGTTAAATTTTTCTTATTGAAAGATTTTTATGAAGTTGTTGAAAAAGCACAGAATAAATGTAATAAGCATCACTTTTAAGTGGTATGTGTGTGCATAATTGAAAACTAATTCTCTTTATCTATCGACTTTCTACGATTAATTGGGACCTTAAAAAAAAAAAAAAAAAAAAAAAAAATAACACGACTGAACGTGACTAAAGCACACGTTTTGAAAGAAAACACCAAGTTTGGTAGAAATAATGATTTATGCAAAACATTTGCATTAAGTACATGCTACGTTTTCTATACCTCTAGTCGACTTGAAATTGTTCTTCTTGTAAATGAAATAATTGCAATAAAATGCTTACTTCGAACGAGACATCAAGCACCGGTTCAGCTTATGCACATGCTGGCTGCTCGGCAAATGCAATCACAACATCGATGAATGCGGGCAATAGGAATAATAATAATAATAATCATACAAAAACAACAACAGCAACTTCTCGCATAAATACGGAGAATGGTCTAATTAACAATCAATTGCAACAAACGCAACAGCAGCAGCAGCAGCAGCAACAGCAACAGAATCAATCGAAACCACAGCAACATAAGTTTGCACCTGCACGAAGATTAGCAGCCCGACAAACATTACGTTTAGCTATACCCAGACAATCCGAGGACACAAGCAATACCTTAGCTGCTAATACGATTCTTTTTAAAAATTCACCCTCGCAATTGCCGCCTGCACCCATTCTGAAGCGTTCAACACCCTTTAATCCAACAAATTTGAGCACTTCTTCTCAAATACCCCTTAAGTCAACCTCACCTTTAGATTCGCAAACGCTTCCCAACGTTTTGCTAACCAATAATGATAATACTGCTACACCATCGAATTGTAGTAGTAATGGGAAATTTCTCTCTTTACGAAATCCGAGTATTACATTGAACTCAACCGATATTTGCAAGAACAATGAACTATTTGCCTTTGCTAAGGAATTATCACCTTCTGTGACAGGCGGTGAGTAGTTACTTTATTATTTTTTTATTTTTTTTTTTTTTTGTTGTTTTTCAAAATATATATAAAAAGGTTTTTTTTTTTTGTTTTTTTTTGTTAAATTTCTATCATTATTAACAGATCGTTCGCCAGTTTTCACGGCATCGATATCACCGAATACGAATACAGCGAATAATAGTAACAATAATAACGGTACCGGTTCCCCCAATAATCAGTTAAATCGTTTATTCAATTTAAGTCCTTCAGCCCTGAGAAGTTACGGTAATGTAAGTATAAATCTTCGGTATTAAACCTAAGTTAAGCCTTTAAGCATTATTACGAATTGAAAATACTTTGAAGCAACTCAGTTGCACTGTTCTTCGATGTGCTAAGCATATAAATATCGATTCATCGAATTCGTAAGGATATGATATATTATTGTTATAGCTTGATTAGTAAAAGAATTTGTTTAATGAATGAATGTTTTTACTAGTGGAAGATAGAGGAAATCTTGATCAAAGCATGAGGAACATATTCGTTTTGTCCAAATGTTTGCAACGCCCAAAAAGAAGTTTCGGCGACCACACCACCAAGTGAACATGTATTCTTGATTAGCATCGAATTCTGAATTGATTTAACCGTGTCTGTCTGTCCGTCTGCGTAATATCTGTTGTGAACATGCTTCTGGCCCCAAAAAAATCAAGCCTTCGGCTGACAATTTAATAAAAAACTTTGGAAGTTCTTGCATGCAGTTTGGTATTTGGTGGAAAATGGTGGGAAATCATATCAATTAAATGACACGCCTGCAGTACCGCATAAACTGAGAAACACCCTCTGTTTGTCAGCAGAAATACAAAATTGTTTTTTTTTTCTCATTAGTCATAAATTACAGCAGATGGAAAATGGAAAAAGCTGACCACGCCTACCCAACAATATAGTTTGTTAAATCGATTCGATTTCTCTACCAATAATTTTAATGCATGCCGAAACAAGTTTGAAAGATCCCATAAAGTATATAAATTTTTGGCTAGTTTCGCATTCGTAATGCTTCTAAACGTGGCCGTCTGTTCATCTTTCTATCTGTCCAAGTGAAGATATCGCTTAGAAATTTGCAAAAGAATTTGAAAATGCCCGCAACTGGTCAAAGTACACGCCCCCCAACGTTAACCTTTCTATGCAATAAAAACTGTGAATATCTTTGCTTTCCTTTTTTCTTCTTCTTCTTTTAGTTATTACTCATAACACGTGCAACACATACCATATACCATATAAATTATCACTGTTATTGTGAGAGCAAAGAAAATCAGCCACGCCCATCATATATCAAGGATTATAAAAATGTAGCTTTTTTCCCCATTTCTCTTAAGTGTTCTTCTTCTTCTAGGATAACGATGATGGAGATAAAAGATTCGATCACTAGCGTATATAGTCTGCCTACTTATTGATATTAGAAAAGCATTTCCTTTAAGTTTCTGGAAATTTTGTATTTGAAATCCGAAATTTATTTACCGCATATAGCAAAGAAAATTGGAGCGATAAGTAGGATCATTTTGATATATATAATAGTATAGTTTTTGCCTTTCTCTTTCTCTTTCTCTTTTTTTTTTTTTATTTTTTTTTATTTTACATTCCAAATGCATGTAAGAGCCTAGAGATCTTGATTGTTGGTATTAAAATGGAATGAAATAATACTTAAAGTATAATTAATCATTTTTCGTTTTTGAGCACATATCAGGAAGTCTACTATATCTTGAATGGCTTGATATGTGAAGTGATGACTTTTACGATTAGTATTATTATCATTGAAAAAACTTGAGATTGCCATTCTCCGTTCATTTAATATAATATACCTTACGTTTGATTTATTGATAATATATAGTTTGTCTTGTAATAAAGAAATTAAAATTTACTGCAAAAGAGCGTAAACATTTTCAAAATCTTTACAAAGTCATGTGTTTTTCATTTTACATATATATATGTCAGTTAATGTCAACAATTGTTATTAAATGAAAACGAGTCTATTAGCGATTGGCTTGTTTGAAGTTTTGTCTCAGTAATTGTTTTATACCATATTTCATTTTACGGTTAGAGCAACGTTAACCCGGTAAACCGGTATATGTATATGTTTTCACGCATTATTCCCGTATTACTTCTTGAAGTCTCGTTATTATAAATAATTTTATGTTCATTCGCAATGACAAGTTTAACGGGCTATGATTTTAATTCGAAGACAATATATAGGAAATTCGTAATGATTTATTAAATGTTGTCATTTATACGACTCATTTATTAAAACAATGAGTTTATTAAATTTTTTACTTCGTTTGTGACATTGTAATAAGAGAAGTTTCTCGAAACATTGAAAACATTCCAAGACTCGAATTAAAGATTTTTGAAATTTTTGAAAATCGCCTTGAAATTGTTAACAATAATTGATTGATCGATAACGAACGAGAATTGCTGGAAATGATTGTTAAAAGCTTTCTAAAAATCTAAGACTAATTTTTATCATTAATTGAACGAAGATCACACAGGTCTGTATGCAAAGTATATAAAATTCGTCGAAAATCTATAAAGTTTTCTGGCTTGTTTTGTTTTTTTTCTTCTTCTTACTTAAGTCTATTTTGTTAATTTTTTTTCGTTTAGTGCGCGTATGAATTATTAATTTTTTCATCAAGTTTTTCGTGTTGTGTGTATAATATTTACATTTTATTTATTTATTTTATCTACGTCATGCGAACGATATATTAATTTGATTTGAACGCTGGCGACAACTGCCTCAGGCGAAATCGAAAATATTTTAACCGTAAAATACCTTAAAACTAAAATTAAATGACCAATCCTGGGTTTATATGTTCGATCATTCCATTTGGAGTATATTTAAGTTTTAATTCGGAATGAAGCCTCATCAGCATTGGTCATCAATGCTCGTCTACGCCGTTCCCTTTGTACGCGCAATTCGAAAATGAAACCTACATATTTTCATAATATATCGGTACAGTTTCCAAATTCCATTTAAAAGATAATTTTCGGATTTTGCTACTGTCTTATGCAAAGCTTTAAGGCAAAGCTTACCCATATCGAAACAAAAATGCTACGTTAAACTTTATAAATTTGCGCGTTAAGCACGCTCGTTATTTTGTTTTTGTTTTTTTTTTTTTTTTTGAAGTATTTTATGTTAACTTTTAGTTAACACCACATCTATTTCACTACACATTACTCCAACCGATACTTGCAAACTTTACAGTAGGATTTCTTGCAGTTAAACTCTACTAACAGACAGACCAACTAAAAATAAAAAAAAAAACAGCTAAGAAAAAGAATCATATGATTAATAAAATGAAAAAGATTTTACTAAATGTTAACGAAAATTTTGAATAACTTTCTCAAGTACTTTCTACCGAACTAAACAACTTTTCATATATATGTTTTTGTCTCAAGTTAAATAAAAAAATAAATAAATAAAAAAAATTCTTATTGTTCGGAGTGTGGGTAAAAAAAAGACAGTAATATCCATGATTAAGCATATTATGAGTTAAGCTAAGCTAATCACGGATTGTCTTACTAAAATTGTACACTAAAACTTAAGATTGTTTACTAACACTAGATATATGGGAAACCGTCAATTTGAAAGGTGAATTTTGTGAACCGTAACTGACGCAAAACTAAAGATAGATTGCTTGAGTATGAGATTAAAAATGGACGTGACCTATTCACAGCCACACCCACAATGCATAAGAAACTGAAATAATTTCGGAAAGTACCCGACAATTATTTCACATTCTCTTTCAATCTTATGAAAGTTATAGTTCGAAAAGCTGGAAAGTTTGTGCCAAATATCAGCTTCATACCTTCATTTAAGCGACTAGAATCGTTCACAGATCGTAATAAGCGTACAACATCGCATTTGTGATAGACATATATATTTTCTGCATTATATTATTAAAAACGAGTATATAACATCTAAAGTTATCAACTTTCTTAGGCTGAATTCTTTAAAAAAATAAAAATCCGTCAATGTGACGGGTGCCGCATATCTAATGTTATAGCAGAACGGTGAAGTTTCGGCGACACTGTCAACAGACTTATATGATGTCTGAATGATATCAGCCTTTAAATGATGTGTGACATATTTCATGACATTTCGTCTATTAGTTTATCGGTTACAATTGTTCTCATAACACTACTCTTATTACTATTTTTTTGGTCGCATCGAATGATTTTTGTCGGTTGTTGGCCACTCGGCTGCTGGAGTGTGTTGATGAATTCATCTATTGCCGTATGTCGTAATCATTTTGCCTAAACCGCGCCACACGGTACACCTGAACCACCTGAGCAAACACGCGCACTCACTTTGAATCGAACATTGCCGTGAAGAAGAAATGCTCATGCAAATACACTGCCTTCTGACTGCACTTTTCAATCTATCAAAATGATTTTATGCACTTTTTCTAATGCTTTCTGGTACAATGGAAGGCATTTGGACGACCGGACAAACAAAAGTTGCCATAACATTCATATTCAAGCCAGCGCTGATTGCGAGCAGTATTTTTTCTTCTTTCTGTTTTGAAGGGTGGGAAACAAAAGGTAGCATCACATAAATCAGTCTAACGTGTAAACTAAATTTTTTTTAGAATGTCATGAAATTTTGACGCTGCCCAGAAATCAAATGGGCTTGTGAACAGTGATGTCTTTTATGTGTCAGACCGGGGACTTATTGAGTGAAGCGATATGTATGAGTTTAGTTAAGATTTGAAGCCTTTTGAAAGGATTTTATAACATTATTATCATTTTGAAATCCTTTTGAGACCACAAAACGAAATGTCTCGGAACGCTTTGCCGAAAGATAAGAATTCAAATGTGATATGATCAGCGTTTCAAATTCGGTTTGATATATGCCCCGAATAATTTGCTATAAAGCGTATACGAAATTCGCTCTAAACTGATTATAAACTTTCCCTCGTTTTTTTTATTTTCTAGTATTTATTCGCTAATAACTTACTTGCTATAAAAATCGATTAGAAAATAATGGCAGAGAAATGAAAAACACGAAATATTTCTGCTTTTGTTAAAAACACGTACCTTAGGTGATTGTGTCACTGAGTAGAGAAGCGTTTGTTTTTGTTTGTTTTTTTTTTTTTTTCTTTTTTTGTATTTAATAAGCATTAAACAGATGAACGTGGGGTGTATATAAACTTGTGAGAAATTTATACATATTGACATTGATAGCGTTGGAAGAACTAGTGGTGCTATTGTTGGTGATGATGATGATGATGATGATGGCGGC